GGTCACTGGTTAGGCCACATTTGGAATACTGTGTTCAGTCTTGGGCTCCTTACCTTAGGAAAGACATTGAGTTGTTGGAAAGGATTCGGAGAAGGATTACTAGAATGGTGCCTGGGATGGAGGGGTTGTCATATGAGGTGAGGTTGAAATATCTCAAATTGTTTTCTCTTGAAAAAAAGAAGAGTTAGGGGGTTCTGATGGAGGTGTTCAAGATTGTAAAGGGAATTGATAGTGTTGATGTATCATCTTTTTTCATACTTTAACAATGAGAATAGTAGGACTAGGGGACAAAAATATGAATTTTGGCAGGGTAGGAGTCATCTTCAGCTAAGACAGTTTTATTTTTCTAACAGTGTGGTTGGCCTTTAGAATGGGTTGCCTTCGGATGTTGTGGAGGCAGTAAATTCAAGTGAGTTTAAGAAGAATCTTGATAAATATATGAATGATAAGGGCTGGATTTAAGATTTTTTTATTTTAATTAACTTATTAATGGTTTTAGTTTTGAGGATGGAACAGCTGAGATAGACCCATGGGTCCCATGTTGTTTGGAGAGCTTAGAATCTTACAGGAATCTTTTTTTAACACTTGTATAAAATATTGACAGAATCACTTCTTTTCAAGTATGTCCTAATAATGTCATTTTATTTGTCTTCATTAATATCTCTTCCTTATATATATACAAGATCTGATAGCCAGAATAATAATAATAAAAATAATAATAATTAGAAAGACTAGTCTCAATAAGGCAGTTGTTGTCGTTTTTTTTTGTTTTTTATATAAGTTAACACTAATTGAACAACCTTTAATTAATTGAATAATGAGTAGGCATGATGGTAATAATTCAATTCTTGTTTACTTGGAATGATTGGAATGAGTAATTTCTATTACTTGAATATTTTTGACATTAGTCAGTTTAATGGTGGTTTCATTTAATCAATTATTTTAAGGAATATGAATCCATGCAACCTATGCTCACGGATAATCACTTCATTTAGTTAAATATCCAGTTCCAACATATAGAGAAATGGGTGAATAAAACACTTTTTTTTTTCTTCATTATTTCAGGTAATTTCCTCATGGCAGGTACTGAAACGTCCACAGTTCCAGGTCTTAATGCTTTAACTGAAGAATCTATTATGAATTTATTCCCAGTTAAGAGGAAAAGGGAGAAAAAATTTTCTTGTGATGTTTGCAAGAAACTCTTTTATGATCAGAATAAACTATCAATCCATATGCTTACACATGATGCTAATCGTCCTCTTTACAACTGTGAAATTTGTGGGAAAGATTTAAAAACTATATCTGGTCTGAAGATGCATTTAGAATCTCATCGCACCACAGTAAAGCCTTTCAAATGTGATCTTTGTGGATTAAGATTATCCACTCAAAAAAGTTTCAAGTATCACAAGTTAACAATGCACTCGACAAAAACACTTACAAAATCTGTTATGTGTGAAATTTGTGGAAAAATGTTTGTAATGAAGAGACACTTAAAGATGCACCAGGTAACACATCAAGAAAAGAAACACCAATGTGAACACTGTGGGAAAGGTTTTACAAAAAATTATGCACTTGAAACTCACTTAAAAACTGTGCACTCAGAAGAAAGGCCTTATCCATGTGACATGTGTGAAAAGAAGTTCAAGAGAACGTTGAATTTAAGAATTCATTTAAGGGTTCATACTGGTGAACGGCCATATGGGTGTGAAATGTGTGAAAAACAATTTAGAACTGCCTTTGCATACAAAAAACATAGGCGAGGAATTCATAAAATAAAGTGAAAATATATTACAAGAATTGGGTTAGTTTTTAAACTAACCCCAATCATGTTTGGTAAAAATGAAATGGTTTTAAAATTTTTATGTTTACTTCTGTAACTTCTCTTAATATTTTGAATGTTCTGTTTGATATATTTATACAATAATGTGATAAATATGTACGTTTTATTTGTGACTTGTAATAAAATGAAAAATGTACATATACTTGAGATATCTATATTTATTTTAAAAACTGATTTGTACAATAGTTCTTTCTTATTAGTGGTAGTGAGACATATTAACAGAGGTAAGAAATGTATTAGTAAAATAATTCATATTAAATATGGGTTATTTGTTAATATTGATTGTTAAGTAATGGCTTGCATATTGTTATCTTATATGTTTATTAAATACTATGAATGGGGTTAGGACTGTTTCAGATTGGTTACATGTAAATTTATTATATGTCAATTACGGTTTATGCTCTGGACCTGACAAAATTCATAAACGTCACCATCACAAGTAGAATGTAAAAATTACTTCTGATATGAATGGTTTAAACTGTTTTCACCAAGTTCTTTATCATCTCAAATTTATATTGTAACAGATAAGTGATATTTTATATTTATCAGACCAACAATTTTAAAATATTATTTTGCTGTCTAGAATGAACTGAAAAGAAAGGGGTATCTTAAACGTTTAGTGATTTTGCAGTGTAAATTATTTTTTTGCACCAGTCAGGAATAAATTCCGTGAAAATATAATTAATATATCAAAAATAAGGTTCATTTCTTCTAGGCCCCGTATGTTCTTGCTCTGTAGAGAAGCTTAAATAGTATTAATTATTCAATTAACAGAAGTTTTTATAATTTTGTCGCCCAATATTACTGTGTATCGTTTTTACTGGAGTTGATCAATTGTAAGTTATCTAGGCCTATGAAGTTTTATTTCAGAAATGTTTATCTCCAACATTTGTTTTCCTATAAACTGGTCTCACAATCAGATTTTCTGTGACTTGAAAGTTAACGATACATCTTGAAGCAGTATTCAGATTTACTTGCCAAGAAACATAAATAACAATAACAGAACTCGGTACCGGCCACCAGTAATAATTGTTTGTTTGTTTTTTAAATTTCGCGCAAAGCTACACGAGGGCTATCTGCGCTAGCCGTCCCCAATTTAGCAGTGTAAGATTAGAGGGAAGGCAGCTAGTCATCAACACCTACCGCCAACTCTTGGGCTACTCTTTTACCAACGAATAGTGGGATTGACCGTCACTTTATAACGCCCCTACGTCTGAAAGGGCGAACATGTTTGGTGTGACGGGGATTCGAACCCACGACCCTCAAATTGCGAGTCAAGCGCCCTAACCACCTGGCCATGCCGGGCCGCCAGTGATAATAATAGACGAAAAAGAATCGGTACTCCACGTGCAGTGAGCTAGGAGATAGTCAAAACCACCCACCACCAAATATCTGGACACACTGTTCGAATAATTTGATTTAACTGTTATGTATATATATATATATATAGAGAGAGAGAGAGAGAGAGAGTATTCCACTTAATAATACTGCATACATGTATAAAAAATTGGGGCTTTGGCACATAAGGCTCAGCACATGCTTCGTATGCAGGAGATTGAAAGATTCAATCCCATCTATACGCATTTAACTTCCTTTATTTGCTAAACAGTGTATCAGCAGTCAAATAACTAGTACATACATCGTACGCAAATCGCGAGTTTATCTCCTCGTAAAATTATTACTATGTGTCGCATTTGACGTAATATATTATAGAGGTAGATTGCGTTATATTTAACCGACTTTGGAGCCTCACTATGTCACTACAATCCATGTTGCCACATCCGGTCATGATCTATCTGACGACAGTGCATCTTGATATTAGTCCTGTGGCATAGTCTCCATTGCAAAAAGTTCTGTCGTAAGATTGTCGCGTGTAAAGCACATAAGTTCTCCTTACATGCTTTCTATAATCCGTTTACTGTACGAACATGACGATTTTCGGGAGCTCATTTCAATGGTCCGATAGCACAAAAATTCATAGATGATTTGTCCGGTAAACTTGACTATCTTACAGAAAATCATATGTTGTGCACATAACTGGTAATTTTTCAGTGGTAGCCACTCATAAATGATAATTTAATCCCTGACTAGATTTGGATGCATAGCTTATATAATTTACACTTTTTGTTGTTGTTTTTGTCCCAATTAGAAAATTCAAATTTTACTTCTATTTTGACGCCACCAAAAGTAATAATAGGTGACAGCTTGGAGCCAAAATAGGGATTTGCTGTTTGAGTAAATACGTCTACGGTATCTCCAGCTTTCTTACTTTTTTGTGACCCCTATTTACAGGTTTTAAAAATGCCCAATATATTATTTATTTTGTGCCCTTATACTACACGCATATATCCCAAACTACTGAATGACGGAAAACACTTTAGTGGTTCCAAACATTTCATTGCATCACGACAGAAGAAACCCTAACGAAATCAACGATGTTTTGGGGGTATACTGGTAACGTAACCGTATTGATCTGCGTATATTATACGCCATTATTTTCTTCGCTCCGCATTGATTTTGGTGTCGTTGGGTTCGTCTGTTTCCTTTTTTCTTTCTTTTTTAATAATATGAAGATTTGTCGCGAAGTAAAGAAATTATCAGTGTCATCGGAAGATTTTCCTCACCACAGTCGTTTTAGGTACATGCGTTATTATAGCCTTTTATTTCCTTTACTCAACTCTGATGTGTTGTCGTTGAATTCGTCTGTTTTTTTTTCTTTATTAATAATATATAAGTTATGTTGTGGAGTAAAAAAAATATTTGAGTCGCTAGAACTTTTTCCAGTCTTCAGCTGTTTCAGATATAGTATAGGTCCTTGTTTTCTTTGTTTCATTCCAATTTTGGTGTGGTTGGGTTCGTCTGATTTTACTTTTCAATAATAAACAAGTTTTGCTGCGGAGCAAAGAAGTTATTAGTCACCAGAGCTTTTTTTTCGTATCTCAGGCGTTTGGGATATATGCATATATTAAAAGGGCACATACATGTATCTTCAACTATTGTACTCTATTATTTTTATGCTACACAGTGATTTCGATGTCTTTCAATCCGTCTTTAACAATATATAATTTTTGTTGCAGAAGAAGAAAAAAATTCAGAGCGTCATTTTGGACGTATGCGTATATTTGAGGATTTCGTATTCTTTACTTCGCGCTGATTTTGATACCTGTCGATACAATTTATGTAAAATTTATTTTTGTTTGTAATATACTTTTTACAGAACCACGGTTTGATTGCTATTTCTTCCAACCGAAATTTTAACCTTTGTAATGACGTTTCAATTTACTTGTAGTGCCTTAATATATTTTGATTTTCTTTTCCCTTGCTCCTACACATAACTGAGTAACGTTTTTTCGTGTGTGATCACAATCTCGTATTCGCACAATATACGTCTATCACGTTATAGCTCACCCAGCACTTGTTTTTTTTCTTTTTTTTTGTTGTTGTTGTTTTTTAATTGTAGTAGTGTAATACTGACTGCCCTGGTGGCGGTGAGAGTTAGTCCTGACAAAGGTAATGATTATTTGTACGTCAGAAAATTCTATATTCAGGGATACGTTCGCTTGTTTAGATGTACTAAATCATTAATTACAACTGTCCCAAGAGATTTATTCTGCTCTTATATACTCGGGATGGAACAATGACTAATCCACGTAGTATAATTTTCCACTGTGATTGCAAGGTAGAACTTGGAGCATGTTTCAGTTTGCTAAACGTCTTGCGTGTTTTGGTCAGGCAAAGTAGCAAATATCTTCTGCTGTATTTAACTCTCCTCGGTGAGATACATAAAGTGTGCCATAAGCTATGTGACCCTCAAACTTCTGTGTAAACTCTATCAATTTTGCATTCTAGTAGGTTTGTCAATAACTTGAGATTTTTCGACCATTACGAGCTGAATATCAGCCGTCCATAAAACTTGAACTTTGAAGTCACACTCACACTAGTCAATTTTGAAATTTGTTGCATATTCTTAAACATGCTTATTTATTTTTTGAATTAGCAAGAGTTGTCTTCCCTTTGCTATGGTATTACAATTTACATTAAGACTATACAGTTGCATTTCACTTTAAAATTACCAATTGCTTCAAAGTAGTACTTTTTACACCTTAAATTACTCATGATCTACTATATCAAGCAAAGTGTCTGGGAAAAGAATACAGTCATATATCTATCATTTCTTGATCAATTAGCACCAAACTTGACACAGTGATACAGGATGACAAGGAGGAGATCATGAGGGGCTAGGGGTTTGAACCCCCATATAATTTTATTTGTAATATCAGAAAATCTACCAATGTTGTATATGGTTCAGCATTAGAATGAACTATGGAACTACTATTGTTAGAATTCTTGAAAACAGTATGTCTTTCTTTTCAGTACTGGTACCTTTATGTATTTTTATTTCACTATTAATGTTTATTATGTTAAGAAAAAAAAAAGCACAATTTTGTATTCTTTATCACAAACATTTTTTTACTTCACCCCTCCAATGGACGGGTACTCCAGCTAGTATGAAATCAACTATAAAGTCAGTATCTCAGAGATCAGTATAAATGAAAGGCCCGTACATGTTTTCTATACTGACTGTTGCTAAGACAATACCTAACATTTTGGTACTTGCATATATTGCAGGGCATACTAGATTTTGAAACTTGAAGAAACATTGGACATGGCTAAACTGTAGATAAAGTTATTTCCTCTGAAGATAAATATTGTAGTTAAACAGAAGATAGGACCAATTACAATATGAGTATTCACCTGGAATGTTCTTATAAACATTTACTACAGTATTGTTAGTTCATCATTATTAGTCTGTAATTTTTTTTTCCAAAATTTTGTAATTAGTTGTGTATCCCATAATTTCCAGTATCTTCTGAACTTAATGAAATAGTTTATTACACTATATCGGGTAGTTGATAGCTAAATGTCCAGTTGTCTGGCTGAAACATTACGTTTCATTTCTAGACTACAAATAGATTTTATATATTCAATAGTTATTTAAATATTAAGAGAGAGTTATATGTTTTTACAGTGCACTGCTTAGGCATTACTTAAAGTGTTATGTGTGTTTTGGTTTCCTTATTTAAAGAAGCATGTTTATTTATGGAAAGGATTCTGTGGAGGATTACATAAATCATAATACAGTTTCTCTGGTGAAAGAAAAAAAATTAATAATCTCTTA